CGCGGCGCGGGGAGTGGTGCAGCAGACGGTGGTGGAGATGATGATGCCGTCGGCAGCGGCGGTGGAGGAGGAGGCCGCGGCGGTGGCCGCGGCGGCGGCTCAGGCCAGTCGAAGGCGGACCTGCTGAAGCGCATCGAGGAGCTCACTGCCGGCGGCGGTGGTGGAGGCGATGATGAGGAGGATGCTGAAGATTGCGACTCGCATTCTGCCGCCGGTGTCGGCTCGTAGGTTGGCTTGCGCTGCTGGCGGCGCGTAGGTCGGCGGCGCCCAGGTAGGGGCTGGGGGGGGAAGAGGGTTTCTGAAAAGCGTTTTTTTTCTTGTTTTTACAAGCTTTCGGAGTTTCTAAGAAGCCTTCGGAGGGCTGCTAAGAAGAACCATGTGCGCGCCGCCGACCGAGGATGTTCGCCTGAGCATCGCGCTCTGGATGGTGGCCGCCTCCGCTTGCTTGAGCGAGGCGGTGGCCATTATTATGTTTTTTGGGCTTGTGATTTGTGGGCCAAGTCTGGCAACGCACACGCGCGCACTGCTGAGGAGAGCACGGCGAGCGAGTAAGACCCGTGAAGTTTGCTTGTATCTCCTCGATCTTAGTTGAGCTAGCAGCGCGTGCGACGCTGCGTATGCAAGTTCCTTCTTCTGGTGACGCATTCGCCGCGCTCAGATAATGCTAGAGGGGCCTGCCTATGAGATCATGGGGCTGTGACGCATAGTGCCTGAGTTCCCAATGTTTTGACAGCGCTGCCCGCGACGCCCATCGCAAGACGTTGAACACAACACAGCGCCAACAATGGAATCAAGCGTAGACACAAAACATTACCAACATTGTCCTCCAAGCCCCTCCGAAGCCCTCCTCCCCCGCCCTCCTCCGAAGCCCTCCTCCTCCGAAGCCCCCAGCGCTTGCGCTGAAGATGGGGATCCTAGCAGACAGGCGTGCGCAGACATGGTGCGCTCGCACGCATTGCCCCCCAATCGGCGCTTGCAGACATGGTCCGAGCGGAGAGAGGGTGGCGCGCTATTGAACTAGGGGAGCCCTTGCACTATCCTCGGAGGCCCGGGGATCGTGGATAAGGGGGGCGCGGTGAACGGCATCGATAAGTCTCCCCTCTGGGGTCCAGGAAACGTTTCCTCAAGGGGCCGTTTTACTGCATGCCAATGTCTCTGGCTCAACAACCCCATGCGGTCTGACGCGTTGTTGCTGCCTCGTCAACAACATGTCCTCCTCTTCCTCTTCAACATTCTCGGCGTCATCCTCCTTATGATCGTCCTCGTTAACATCGTTGAACCCCCATTCTCTCCTCGCTCGTCCTATATCGCGCACCTCGCACAAACCGCAGACACCCACCCCTGGAACATTCTTAAAGCCCAGCCCCTAAAACATCCCAAAGCCCGGCCCCTCCGACAACGCCCCTGAAGCCCAGCTTGCAAAACATCTCTGAAGCCAGGCCCCTAAAACAACATCACTACGGCCTGGCCCCGACAACATCTCTAAAGCCTGGCCCCTAAAACACCATTGAAGCCCGGCCCCTACAACATCCCTAAAGCACGCTCAACACACACCGACAAATCAAATCACACGGCGCACACCAGCAACACAAGTAAGTCACGCAATACACATCAACAACAACAACAACCACGTGCTCACGGAACTGGCGCATCACGAACCACACATGACACACCGCCAACAAAAATCGCATAGCACGCACCGCCAACAACAACACGCACCACGCAGAGATAACAGCACGCTGCAGCAACAAACGTCGCGCATCACATCCCAGCAGAACGTCTTGGAGCCCCCTTGGAGCCCTCTTGTTGAGGCCCTCTCGGAGCGGACTGGGGGAAGATCGGGGCCCCGGCGGACGAGTTCTTCATCATCTTGAATAGCGCTATACATTCCCAGGGCCAGGGGCAAATCCCACACATGCATCTAACGCTACATACACACAAAAACACAGAGCCCGCTTGCTGCATGCTAAGGAGAAAAGAAGACTGCACGGAGTCCAATCAACGTTTGAGCTGAGGGGGCCCTTCCTCTTGCGCCGATGGGGCCTCAACGCCGCGTGGTATCCCAGCCAGTGCTTGCGCTGAAGGGGCCCTATCACCAACTGTTACAATGAGGGTCGCCTTCTCCCCATCATCATCCTCGCCCCCGCCCGCGCCATGTCCTAGCCCGTCCAAGGTTTTTTTTTGTCGCGGGGCGCCAACTACAACTACTACTACTGCTGCTGGCTGCCCCCAACAACAACAACCGGTGATGGGCGCAGACTGGGGTTCCGATGCTGTTGAGGAGCCCCGACGACGACGCCCCAGCGGCCGGCCGCGGGCGATGCTGATGACGAATAAGAAGCCCGCCGCCGCAGCCAGATTGATCACCAAAAAGCGACCAGCCTCGACGCCAACAACGAGTCGGCGCCATCCAATCCCGGTCCCGGACCCCATCGCTGTGTGCGGAGCTGTCGGCCAGGCCGCGGGCTGGTCGAACCGCCTCCTCTCCAATCGCGCCGCCCAACTTGGGGTCCAAAGTCAGGGGGGGGCCCGCCGGGCAGGAGGAAGATGATGGGCAGGAGAAGGAGAAAGATAAGAAGGATGAGGATGATGATGAGGGGGGATGGCGAGGAGGGGGGGGGAGGAGGAGAGCTGGGAAGGTCGCGGGGCTGGAAGATGATCAGGTCGGCCGGGGAGGTCGCGGGGAGAGGGACGGGATGAGGAGGAGGAGGAGGATGAGGAGGAGGAGGGTGCTGATATCACACCAGCCCTCTGGGCGCGGGTGGTCTACTAGGGCGCTTCCCTTTCCAACCTCCTGCCTTTCCCTGCTCGGGAGGTTTGCCCCCCCCCCTGCGCTTGGACGGGGGGGGGGGGGAGGCGGGCCCATAGCAGCGTCCAAGATGGCCCAAGATGGCTCCAAGAGGGCCTCCGAGAGCGCAATATGGCCTCCACGATGGCCCAAGATAGCGGTAGACGGGTCAATATAGCTTCAGACACGCGTCCAAGAGGCCTCAAGACGGCCCCAAGACGGTTTCAAGTGCCCTCCGAGGCCTCCAATGACCCCCCTAAGAAGAAGAAGAAGCCAACATCTTTCAAATACCGAAGGGACATCTATGTGTTTTGGCTTATCGCTTTTTCGCATCCGACGGGCTCTTGAGGCCTCGAGAAGATGGCCCCAAGATGGCACAATGCAGCCCCGAGGGGCCCAAGAGATCCCCAAGACGGCCCCAAGAGGAGCGCCCAAGCAAGAGCGCTCCGAGAACGGGCCAAAAAGATGGCCCCAAGACTGCATGCTTGAGCTTCCGAATGGGGAGGGGAGGGGGTGGGCAAGAATTGCCCGCCCCCCCCTGTTCTTCTTTTGTAGCCATGAGGACCAAGACGGCCCCGCGAGGCCTCCCAGAACTCCCCCAAAGAGCCCCAAGATGGCCCCGCGACCTTCCAAAAGAGCCCCAAGAGGGCTCCAATAATGCCCCAATGGGACCCCACGAGCGCCCCACAAAGGCCCTAAGAGGACCTCATGATAGCCCCAAGAAAGAGCCCCAAGATGCCCCGAGAGGGGCCCAAGATAATCCCAAGAGGGCCCCAAGATGTCTCCAAGTTTCGGAACGCACGCGAGTTTAATATTCAAAATATCCCTGTGTGACCCTACCTAGGAGTTTGAGCATTTAGGAAAGCAGCATCTACATCTACACCGACAGCTTCATTTACATACACACCTGAATCTACAGCTACACCAACATCAACAGCGAAACTCGCATCTACATCTACATGAGCACCTACATTTACACCTACATCCACATCTACATCCACATCTACATCTACACCTACATCCACAACCACATCTACACCTACATCTACATGTACATCTACAAGTTCGCATTGATGTTGGTTTTTGCTATGATATACTGCGTTATGCTATGCCATGCAATGCTATGCTATACTATGCCATGTTGCGCTATGATATGCTATGATTTGCTGTTCTATGCCATGATATGCTGCGCTGTGCTATGCTAACCACTGCAATGCTATGGTATGATATGATATGCTGCGCTATGCTATACTATGATGCGCTATGCTATACTATGCAAGTTATGCTATGATGTACGTGGCAATGCTATGTTATGTTATGCTGTGCTAATGTTTAGCAGCTGCGCTATGCTGCGCTAAGCTAAGGTAAGCTAAGCTATGCTAAGTTAAGCTAAGCAAAGCTAAGCTAAGCTAAGCTAAGGTGAGATAAGTCAAGGTACGCCAAGCTATGCTAAGCTAAGCTAAGCTAAACTAGGCTAGGCTAGGCAAAGCTAAACTAAGCTAAAATGAGATAAGCTAAGCGGAGCTAAGCTAATCTAAGCCAAGCTAAGCTACTCTTAACTAATCTAAGCTTAGCCAAGCTAAGCTGGGTAAGCCCAGGGGGCGCAACTGGGGGAACCGCGGGGCGGGCCCTGGGGGAAGCACCCAGGGCGGGGAGCACTGCCCAGCCCCTTGAGCACACAGGGTAAGAACCTGTCTAGGCAGAGCCTAGGTAGGGAATCAGTGCAACAGCCATTGCGAGTCATCGAAATAATACCCCTCACCTCTCATCGAAGCACCATCGTAATTTGCACCGGCTGCCACCTTAAACTTCAATGCGGGAAGCTATGTGTGATGATTGTGTTCTCGAAGACGGCTGTGCGACTGCATGCGTTCTGCCGCCCCTGATTCACCGGCCCCCCTGCTGATCGTTTCTGGATGGGCTGGTGGGGATGCGCGAAGCGTTGAGAATTTCAAACGTCTCTTCATTTGAATCATTGCGGGCGCGTGCCAAAGTGCAAGGAGGAGGAGACGGGGAAATGATAGGAGGGCGCGCAAACAATGCCCAACCTCACGCCCCGAAAAGATGTTACTTGCGCGCCCCCTTTGTAGTGGCATCCGAGTGCCTCCTCCGCCTCCGCCATTTTGGCGCCGCCCACGTAAACGATTGTTGAGATGACTGGGTTGTTTTTGCAGCCGCGCCCCGTTGTTGTGCTGCGCCTCCCTTCATTCAGGTTGCGTTGGGCAGCAATGGCAAGTATCTGGTCGGGAGTATCTGCTCGGGCTACGACGCCCCATGGCTGGCGCTGGAGTCCTTGAGGATCGCGCCGCAGTTCGAGAACGCATTCGCATGTGATGTTGACGGATTATGCCGCCTGGTTCTCGAGAAGAACCACCGCGGCCTTCGCCGCGGCAACGTCTTCGGCGACATCAAGGGCATCAACATGCAGCAGCTCGCTAAGGCCATCACCGCCGATGACCAGCTCTTCTTGTTGACGGCAGGTTTCCCGTGCCAGCCCTTCTCGATGGAAGGCTATGGTTTGGGTGCAGACGATCATCGTTCCATTGCCGAGTACGTGGTGGCTGGGATCAAGGCGCTGTTGCCCGAAGGGTTTTTGTTAGAGAACGTCGAAGGGCTGCTCACCAGCCACGCGCACACATTCCACAAGATCTTGTCCGCCCTCCAGGAGATCAAGGGCAAAGGGTCCAAGGGCTACAACTTGTACTACAAGGTTCTAGACTCCCAGACTACATCTGGCCTTCCCCACTCCCGGCGCCGGCTTTTCATAGTCGGCATATGGAAATCGCTGGAGGAGCAATTCGGCTGCTTCACGTGGCCCGCCGACGCCCTCGCCGTGGATCCCCTGGACAAGTACCTCGATGCCGACAACAAAGGCACCGCCCTCCCGGAATCCAGGACCGCCCTCGCCAACTACACGAAGTGCCTGGAGAAGATCGGCGGCCCGAACGCAGCGAGCAAGTTGAATAGAGGAAACTACGTTGGCGACCTCATGATGGGCCTCACTCGGAGGGTGAACCTGATGAAGAACGCGTGCCCATGCCTAACCCGCCAACACGCAGGAGGGAATTCTTACTGGTTGTCTTCCCGCAGTAGGTATCTCAATTTGAACGAGATGATGAAGCCCCAGGGCATCGAGCGGGGCGCAGCGCGCCTCGTCAGGCCGGAGCGCGTGTCAGATCGCCAGATGAGAATGATGGTCGGAAATTCGATGGACGTGAAGACGACGGCGCGGATCTTGACTCAGATGTTCAAGGCGATGGGTTTCTTCGCTGCGACGTTGAGGAACCCCGTTAATTGATGATGAGAGGCTGCAGCAGGTGATGCTGCTTCGCTGCTTTGAAAAAATTAGACGCTTCGCGTATCATCCTCAC